GCCCGCAGCCCCGCCTCCAGCGCGCGACGCACCTGCACCAAACGCTGCGCTGCGCTGCGCTGCGCTGCGCTGCGCTGCGCTGCGCTGCGCTGCGCTGCCACGCGCTCTGGCGAGCTCACCTAGCTTACTCCTTGCTAATGCGCGCACGAGTTGTAAGAAAACTGTGCTTCGTCCCTCTTTTTGAGAGCTCTGTGTGCTTTCTTTAGATACCCACCAAGTCCGAAGAAGTACATAAACATTGAAATTAATTCCATTTTGTATAAAACCATCAAATATTTCATTGTATTACTTTGCCTTATTACTCTCACACGTACTGAATTCTAACCTATTGTGCTACCTACGACACAGCGACAAGTCTCCAAGCAAGACGCCATCCGCCATTAAATGTTTCCCAATCACGTTCTGTGTGATGAAACTCGTGATCTGTGTTTTTTTACGTTCTCGTATACGTACGTATATGGAGAGTATTGTACGTAGAACAGGGAAAGTTTTGTAAAGCTGCGGAAAATCGATTTCGAGATTTCAAAAGAATTACACGTTCTGGAGTCCCCAGATACCGAAAAAGTGATTTTTTTTCAAGAAGGCCATTTGTCCGTCTGTGAACAACAGTAGCGCCTCAACTCTTCGTAGGATTTTTTTCAAAAATGAATATTCCCGGGCAGATCTGGCCCGACTCTAAGCTCTGTGATTTTGAAAAAAACATTCTTTAAATTTTGGGTTTACATTACATGAAACCTTGAGACATCTTAAAAGTTTTCTCCAAAATAGCTCCAATTTTTTTCTTTCAAAATTCTTCTAAGAATAGAGGAAAATACCCTTAAAAAGTTATGGCATAGGTTCGATCATGACGGTTATCTCTGAATTTTCGGAAATTGCAGATACTTACATTTTTCAGCGACGACAACAATATTAAGGAGATCGATTTTTTCCTAATGAAATTTGTTCTTCAAAAATAGCTCTTTCTTAACGTCGTGTTGAATAACATGTTTTTTGACTATTTTAACGGTTTTTGTGAAATTATGAGTAAAATATGTGAAGTATTTAAAAAATGTCAAAGACGAGATTTTCCAAGATGATAAATGCCGCATCTGTGAGGAACAAGTAGAAATCATTGATCATATCGGCTCAGCTTGTTCAATTCTAGCAAAGACCGAATACTAGAAAAGACACGACATGATGTGTAGCTACCTTCACTGGCAGATCTGTACTGCCTCTCGAAGCTCCGAACAAATGATCCAAGGTGTATGAACACTCACTAAAACCGGTGATGTCTGTTGGACTGTGTACTATTTTGTACGACCAACGAAGTCAAACGGATCGCACGATAGCAGCATACAAACCAGATATTATTATCATCCGCGTTTTGGAGAAAATATCGTGTCTACTTGTAGACGTCGTAATCAAGGAGGCAAAGAAACGTCTTCAATACAAGTGTTTGGAAAGTCTGTGCTGATAGTCGGCCCCCATCGGAGCCCCGGAATTTGTTCTGCAAAATTTGTGTAAGAACTTGACAAAACCCTAAGGTCATTCAATAGACTGGGAAGTGCAAGAAACTGCATTATTTGAAACAGCCCACATGTTGCGCAAAGTGTTGTAGAGGCACCGACAGTCACTAGATCTGTTCCTTAGGTAGGTGGTTACAACCTGGAGTGGTTTCCTGTGTTCCTCACAACTAAAGATATTTATATTTTTATTACTGCTACGTATCTAACTCACCGGACCTTGGGATTCTTGTAACTTCCAGGCTCCTTTGTACTACTTCAGTAATGGCTCATAGAAGGTCTTTATGTCATTTCCGAAAGTGGGAAGAAAACGGTGTGAGAAGCACCAAGCTTTATCCGATTTTATTATAATATTGCAATTTTACAATAATAACAGTAATAATAATAATAATAATAATAATAATAATAATAATAATAATAATAATAATAATATAATAGCTCAATCAAAGAAAATAATACTTTATCAATATTGCAAGGTTACGAAAACAGAACAGGAACATTGCATCTTAAATAAATGTGTAAATTCTAAGTAAAATTTACTAGTACCAGAATCGATACAACCTGAATGTACGAGTATAACAAGAAAACAATGTAAATAGGAGAAGAGTGAGATGGGGGACCTGCAGATTAGTTGCATATACATGCTAACGGAAGGGTATGCCGCATTGGAGTATCACGGTTTAAGGGCTTACTGGCAACTAATTGAGAAACATGTATTGAGATCATACCACCGAATGGAATATAACATATCACTTAAACTACGTTTTTTGAATGATAATTTGGACTGCTTCCTGGGTTACCTTGGCACCGTTAGTGGCGAAAGGTTCCACCAGTCTATATATGAATTGGACACGCGTTTTCAAGGCAATTGGAGTAACGCAGAGTTGTTCGACTATTGCTGGACCTTACGAAGAGGCATTCCTGAAGCGAAGTATACCAGGAAATCGTAAAGGAAATATTCTTAGGTATGTTTCTTCACTTTTTTAACACTTATGTTGTATTTTTTTACTGTATACGTTTGGATCTGTTGTTATTCCAGCATGTCATTTTGCCATGCATGAAAAAATCGTGTATACTTGTAGATGTTGCTGTGCCTTGTGATCAAAACGTCGTAACTAAGGAGGCAGAGCCACGTCTTAAATACAAGTGTTTGGAAATGAAGATCAGTCAAATGTGGGGCGCAAAAGCACAGGCCGTACCGATAGTC